ATTCTATCACTGTTAGATAACATTCTATCACTGTTAGATAACATTCTATCACTGTTAGATAACATTCTATCACTGTTAGATAACATTCTATCACTGTTAGATAACATTCTATCACTGTTAGATAACATTCTATCACTTGTTAGATAACATTCTATCACTGTTAGATAACATTCTATCACTGTTAGATAACATTCTATCACTGTTAGATAACATTCTATCACTGTTAGATAACATTCTATCACTGTTAGATAACATTCTATCACTGTTAGATAACATTCTATCACTTGTTAGATAACATTCTATCACTGTTAGATAACATTCTATCACTATTAGATAACATTCTATCACTGTTAGATAACATTCTATCACTGTTAGATAACATTCTATCACTGTTAGATAACATTCTATCACTGTTAGATAACATTCTATCACTGTTAGATAACATTCTATCACTGTTAGATAACATTCTATCACTGTTAGATAACATTCTATCACTGTTAGATAACATTCTATCACTGTTAGATAACATTCTATCACTGTTAGATAACATTCTATCACTTGTTAGATAACATTCTATCACTGTTAGATAACATTCTATCACTGTTAGATAACATTCTATCACTGTTAGATAACATTCTATCACTGTTAGATAACATTCTATCACTGTTAGATAACATTCTATCACTGTTAGATAACATTCTATCACTGTTAGATAACATTCTATCACTGTTAGATAACATTCTATCACTGTTAGATAACATTCTATCACTGTTAGATAACATTCTATCACTTGTTAGATAAAACATCTTCTATCACTGTTAGATAACATTCTATCACTTGTTAGATAACATTCTATCACTTGTTTAGAGTACATTCTATATTGTTAGATTACTTCTATCACTTGTTAGATAACATTCTATCACTGTTAGATAACATTCTATCACTTGTTAGATAGCATTCTATCACTGTTAGATAACATTCTATCACTGTTAGATAACATTCTATCACTGTTAGATAACATTCTATCACTTGTTAGTAATAACATTCTATCACTGTTAGATAACATTCTATCACTGTTAGATAACATTCTATCACTGTTAGATAACATTCTATCACTGTTAGATAACATTCTATCACTTGTTAGATAACATTCTATCACTGTTAGATAACATTCTATCACTTGTTAGATAACATTCTATCACTGTTAGATAACATTCTATCACTTGTTAGATAACATTCTATCACTTGTTAGATAACATTTTATCACTGTTAGATAACATTCTATCACTGTTAGATAACATTCTATCACTGTTAGATAACATTCTATCACTTGTTAGATAACATTCTATCACTGTTAGATAACATTCTATCACTTGTTAGATAACATTCTATCACTTGTTAGATAACATTCTATCACTGTTAGATAACATTCTATCACTTGTTAGATAACATTCTATCACTGTTAGATAACATTCTATCACTTGTTAGAGTACATTCTATTAGTTGTTAGATTACGTTCTATCACTTGTTAGATAACATTCTATCACTTGTTAGATAACATTCTATCACTTGTTAGATAACATTCTATCACTTGTTAGAGTACATTCTATTAGTTGTTAGATCACGTTCTATCACTTGTTAGATAACATTCTATCACTTGATATATTACATTCTATCACATGATAGATTACATTCTATCGCTTGATAGATTACATTCTATCACTTGATAGATTATATTCTATCACATGATAGATTACATTCTATCACTTGATAGATTACATTCTATCAGCACTAGGAAGGGCAGACATGTCCTTCTCTCAGTTATATATAATAAATATCCGGACTCACGATACTTTAGTGAGAAAGATAAAGTGATGGAAAAACAAGACAAGACTGACTTCCCTTCCAATTTCACATCATATGCTGTATATATCTCATCATTCTCATTAGCATAGCTTGTCTCTATGAATGAGACACATGGTCAAGCCTTGGGTATCATTATTGGAGAAACTCTTCGCCTGCTCGGTAGACTTCTTGAGTCGAATATAGAGGAGACTATAATACTTCTCTCACAGACTCCAGTGTTATAGTCGTCTGTGTGTCCGGCTGTGTATCTACTGAAGATGCCTGCTGTGCAGGCGAAACGTTGCGGTAATGAAGATATACAAGGTTTCGCACACGTGTCTTGCTCATCAACTTGTCTGTAGTGTCTGTCATCAATATAATGAGGCTTAAATCTCGCCCTTATTCCTCGCTGCAGCAGATTACTCTTGCCTCCGTCGACCCACCTGCTAAATACACTAAACAAATATTTAAACCCACAATTCATTACGTAAAAGTGTGGATGAAAATTTTTTCAGTCTGTGCTGGTTTCAGTCTGTGCTGGTTTCAGTCTGTGCTGGTTTCAGTCTGTGCTGGTTTCAGTCTGTGCTGGTTTCAGCCTGTGCTGGTTTCAGTCTGTGCTGGTTTCAGTCTGTGCTGGTTTCAGTCTGTGCTGGTTTCAGTCTGTGCTGGTTTCAGCCTGTGCTGGTTTCAGTCTGTGCTGGTTTCAGTCTGTGCTGGTTTCAGTCTGTGCTGGTTTCAGTCTGTGTAGTTTCAGCCTGTGCTGGTTTCAGTCTGTGCTGGTTTCAGTCTGTGCTGGTTTCAGTCTGTGCTGGTTTCAGTCTGTGCTGGTTTCAGTCTGTGCTAGTTTCAGCCTGTGCTGGTTTCAGTCTGTGCTGGTTTCAGTCTGTGCTGGTTTCAGTCTGTGCTGGTTTCAGCCTGTGCTAGTTTCAGCCTGTGCTGGTTTCAGTCTGTGCTGGTTTCAGTCTGTGCTGGTTTCAGTCTGTGCTGGTTTCAGTCTGTGCTGGTTTCAGTCTGTGCTGGTTTCAGTCTGTGCTGGTGTCAGTCTGTGCTGGTTTCAGCCTGTGCTGGTTTCAGTCTGTGCTGGTTTCAGTGTGACTTCAGCCTTTGATTCTACGCTTCATTCTTCTCGTTCGCTTCAGCGTTGGTTTGCTCCTGTCAGATTGTATCGTCTCCTCTAATGCTTATTTATCAATACAAAAAATGTACGTTTGTGGTTTGATGTTGACTTATATTATCTTAGTTGAAGTGGTTTTCGCATTAATTATAAAGGATTTAATTGGCAGATAACATGACGCCAGTTTAAGAGTGCACTCCTGTGTTAACACTGTGTTTTGCTGTGTTGTGACTTAGTAAGTGTATCGTTCAGTTGTGTTTTAGTGTCGTTTGTCTGCGTTAGTGACCTTTGTATATATTTTATGTAGAGCAAATCTCTCTTCATGTGTATATAAAGAGAGGAAATTTCTCAATGTTCATATATATATATATATATATATATATATATATATATATATATATATATATATATATATATATATATATATATATATATATATATATATATATATATATTTATATATACACTAACGAAATGTTAGTTATTGTGCAAGAATATTATTGTTAATATTACCAGTGACAATTGACTAAGTCAGCGAGACTTGTGAGTTTACTATCAGGTTTCATTTATACTTGTGAGTTTACTGTCAACTTCCATTTATACTTAGAATGTTTTCTTGACAACTGTGCTAGGTGGTGGAACTAGACAGTGGCGGAGATGCATCTCTCTTTCCTCCCTCATCTCCCTTCTTTCCTGTGTGGGTCGCAGTTGTGACTGTACCTCACAGGACAGACTCTGAGATTCTTATCTCAGTTCCCTCATGTTGCAAGCTTCCCTCATGAAACATTTGATAGTACGAAAAAACGTCGTCTTGTGCTGGTTCATTTACCTTTTGCGGCTTTTTTGCGTAAATCAGTACAGCAAAATAATATTAGAACGGGGATTCGAACCTTGGTCCATGTATATAGAAGGTCCAAGGCTGTAAATCACTAAGCCACGGAGCTTGCAGTAAGATTACAACCAGCACATCTGTGACTTAGTTGTCTCATACCACATCCCATGAAGTTTCGTCCAGGGATTCGATCTCCGGACCTCAGTGATGAAAACGCGACCCTCACCACTGAGCTACGGCTGTATGACCCTTGTGAGTTTAACTCTTAGCTTTCATAATAATAATAATAATAATAATAATAATAATAATAATAATAATAATAATAATAATAATAATAATAATAATAATAATAATAATAATAATTGTGGTACATCTGGTGTCACATCCGTCAAGGCCAGAGTTCGGAAACACAAGTGGTGGGTCTGCCTCCTGTATCACCACTCTCACTTCCACACCTCACTTCTGCCTCCAGTATAAGAGACTAAATTATCTACATATTTTTTTAGGGGATAAAACCATTATTTTTATAAATAATTTGCATCGTTGTTTCGAGCTAGGCGAGAAGAGTTAGGTGGTGTGTCTGTATTGCTATTACCGAACAGAGGATCGATCCTTCAGCTTTCCTAATGCTGATATAGTTCAACTTAGGTCACACTTGATCCTGGTTATTGTCTACGTCAGAGTTTCTTCCTAGCACTCACAGGATTTAATCTCATAGATGTGACCCATGAACGTGAACCTATTAATGTCACATATCCTATTTCACCCCTATTTTATTTATTTTGTTTAGTGGAAAAGGAAAGGGAATAGGAAGCACCATAGTTCCTGATATCTTCCCAAAGATTTGTCTCCCGAAGACTTGTCTTCCAAAGACTTGTCTCCCGAAGACTTGTCTTCTCAATACTTGTCTCCCGAAGACTTGTCTTCCAAAGACTTGTCTCCCGAAGACTTGTCTTCTCAATACTTGTCTCCCGAAGACTTGTCTTCTCAATACTTGTCTCCCAAAGACTTGTCTCCCAAAGTTTTGTCTCCCAAACACTTGCCTACTTCAAGACTTGTCTCCCAAAAACTTGTCTCCTCAAGACTCATCTCCTCTAATTGTCCAATTCCTGCCAGACATGTTTAGGACATGATGTTCCAGGTGATCTGGCCTACTTAGCCTGGGTTCATAACATACAAGTTGTCTAATGTATATCTTTGTGTGCACAGGTTGTGGAGGTAGCAGCGGAGGCGAGTCTGGATACGTTTCGCCCTACCTAAGTGCCGAGCGTTCTGGCTTGGTCACGCTGGGACCGTCCCTGCTGCTCACAAGATCAACCATTGCTCAGTACGACACTAAGCGTACCATCACCACAGTTGTTGCGCCCAGGTCTTCCTTCGATGAAAACCGCGTCAGAATACAAGTGCCTGCAGCAGCTGCTGTGGCGGCAGCAGCAGCAGCGGGAGGCGGTGCGAGAGGGCTGCCAACAGCAACAGCAGCAGCAGCAGCAGCAGCAGTCAACACTGGAGCGGAAACGACAGTAACAGTTTCGAGGCCGGAGCAGCAGCAACAGAGTGTAGAGGGGCCATCATCTCAGGGCAAAGAGTCACCGCTATACACTCTGAGGGCAAGCGAAGCTGAAGCGACAGCTGCAAGACGCTTACACGCCGAAACCAGACTACCAGCACCCGCTCGCTCACTCTCTCAGAGCCCCTCTACAGATGGTCTTCAGGAGCACCCAAGAAAGCCTTCGCCTAACAGGTCTCCGAGGTTCGTGTAGTTGTGTGGTCCACTGGCCACAGACCATAGCTTCTCTCACCTCGTTGCCAGCACCACACACACACCAGCATCATATACTCATATGTTAGTACTCCAGCCAGTGTGTACTCAGAAGTGCTTAGTTACGTACCTTGAGCTCTGTGCGAGGATCGTTGATACAGTAGTATTGTTACTACCCATTATGTGGTCACCAGTCGCCCATGCAAGTATCATACCATGTAGGTATCTTATCATGCAGGTGTCATACCATGAAAGAATCATACCAGTTGTCAGTTGATTATGAAGTTATCATCGACACAGTCCGCACGTAGATAACTTTCACAGTTCTTATTAGTCAGCATGGAAGGTGTCAGCAACACGAGGTCCTTAGTGTCAACTTCCACCACAAAGTCGTTAGACAGTGTCAGCCACCATTACAAGGTTCCCAGACAGCGTCAGCCACCATTACAAGGTTCCCAGACAGTGTCAACCACCATTACAAGGTTCACAGAGAGCGTCAGCCACCATTACAAGGTTCACAGAGAACGTCAGCCACCATTACAAGGTTCACAGAGAGCGTCAGCCACCATTACAAGGTTCACAGACAGCGTCCGCCACCATACAGCAGTGTAGTAACCAGGATCACAACATCAGCGTTAAATATCACCACCAGTACATCCATTCCACACATCATTATCCAATATCCTTAAACCGTCACCAGATGCGTTGTAAACAAGACGGGGCACAGAATTCCTCACAAGTTACAGCCACTGTCAGTGTGTTTCGTGGGAGATACATACATTCAGATTACAGAAGTTTAAAATACATTAATTTGTAACAAATTGTCTTGAACAAATCTAATTTATCAATGATTTTTAAGTAACTTCATTTTTGGCTGCTTACTTGTATCAAGGGACTTTACTTGCTAACGATGTTACGAGTGGCAGGTCAAGACGTTAGTAGTGGCAGGTCAAGACATTAGTAGTGGCAGGTCAAGATGTTAATGGTGGCAGGCCAAGATGTTAATAGTAGCAGGTAAAGATGTTAGTAGTGGCAGGTCAAGACGTTAGTAGTGGCAGGTCAAGACGTTAGTGGTGGCAGGTCAAGATGATAGTAGTGGCAGGTCAAGACGTTAGTAGTGGCAAGTCAAGACGTTAGTAGTGGCAGGTCAAGATGATAGTAGTGGCAGGTCAAGACGTTAGTAGTGAGAGGTCAAGATGTTAATGGTGGCAGGTAAAGATGTTAGTAGTGACAGGTCAAGAGATGCCAAGACTCTGGCCTCACGTAGACTAACTTAACTCTCCTCAACTGGTCATAAATATCCCACACAAATGTCTCAGCATAAATTATGAATATGTGTTAATGGCGTTAATGTGCGTCTCTCTCCAAGGATACTTCAATAGCCACCTCTTGTGTAAATATTGCATGTAATGGCTTACAAATATGAGAGAGAGAGAGAGAGAGGAGAGAGAGAGAGAGAGAGAGAGAGAGAGAGAGAGAGAGAGAGAGAGAGAGAGAGAGAGAGAGAGAGAAACAGACAGACAGACAGACAGACAGAGACAGAGAGAGAAAAACAGACGGACAGAGAGAGGAGAGAGAGAGAGAGAGAGAGAGAGAGAGAGAGAGAAACAGAGAGAGAGAGAGAGACAGAGAGAGAGAGAGAGAGAGAGAGAGAGAGAGAAACAGACAGAGAGAGAGAGACTTACCATCTTCCTAACACTTTCCCACTTATAACAAAACATGTATGTTATCAGTATTTCTAGTTAGGTTAGTTGTGTCTATAGTTAAAATCACGATGTGTATATGATTGTTTGTGTAGTGTGTGTATAGCAAGGTTTGATGTGTATATTGTATGATTTAGTGTGTGTATACTGAAATTCAGTGTGCGTATATAGAGATATTTAGTGTGTGTGTGTATGATACGATTCTGTGTGTGTGTGTGTGTGTGTGGTGTGTGTGTGTGTGTGTGTGTGTGTGTGTGTGTGTGTGTGTGTGTGTGTGTGTGTGTGTGTGTATAGCAAGATTCATTGTGTGTATAGTGAGATTTAGTGTGAGTGTACATACATTGTGATTCAGTGTATGCATAGTATGAGTCACAGTGTGTATAGTATGAGTCACAGTGTGTATAGTATGAGTCACAGTGTGTATAGTATGAGTCACAGTGTGTATAGTATGAGTCACAGTGTGTATAGTATGAGCCACAGTGTGTATAGTGTGAGTCACAGTGTGTATAGTATGAGTCACAGTGTGTATAGTATGAGCCACAGTGTGTATAGTATGAGTCACTGTGTATAGTATGAGTCACAGTGTGTATAGTATGAGTCACGTGTGTATGTATGAGTCACAGTGGTATGTATGGTCACATGGTATAGTATGAGTCACAGTGTGTATAGTATGAGTCACGGGATAGATGAGTCACAGTGTGTATAGTATGAGTCACAGTGTGTATAGTATGAGTCACAGTGTGTATAGTATGAGTCACAGTGTGTATAGTATGAGTCACAGTGTGTATAGTATGAGTCACAGTGTGTATAGTATGAGTCACAGTGTGTATAGTATGAGTCACTGTGTATAGTATGAGTCACAGTGTGTATAGTATGAGTCACAGTGTGTATAGTATGAGTCACAGTGTGTATAGTATGAGTCACAGTGTGTACAGTATGAGTCACAGTGTGTATAGTTATCCATTAGCATTCATGATATACACAATTTCATACATCACTATACAGCTATAGGCTGTTTTATACATTAGCAGGTGTATAACTGGTCATTCAGAACCACGAGGCCGGTCATATCTCCATGGTATATAGGTCACATCTCCCTCATATATAGGTCACGTCTCCCTCATATATCTCCCTCGAATATAGGTCACATCTCCCTCGAATATAGGTCACATCTCCCTCGAATATAGGTCATATCTCCCTCGAATATAGGTCATATCTCCCTCGAATATAGGTCACATCTCCCTCGAATATAGGTCATATCTCCCTCGAATATAGGTCACATCTCCCTCGAATATAGGTCATATCTCCCTCGAATATAGGTCATATCTCCCTCGTATATAGCGCTAATATATAGGTAAGGAGAGACTCGGTTTCCTGCCTAGTTTAACCAGACTGTGGATTGTATCTAGTGAAGAGCTAAACCCGGGTGGTGGGGGCCAGGATAGTGGAGGCTCGCTCCTCCGTTCCTTGATTGCAGCTGGCTTTGTGTTGATCTATCAGGCTGTTGGTAGCATCCGGCTCCTGAGAGGCAGGAAATGAAGTATTTGGGATTATTGGTGGAATGTAAATTTTTTCCCATGGCGAAATGCTCTTGATCTGAGGTGCTGGAGCCGACCTTCTGGTCAGGTGAAGAAAGAGCCTGCTGACCATTTGGTCACGTGAGCACCTGTGAGTGTAAAGCTTACTACCAGTGTGAAGCTCACTACCAGTGTGAAGCTCACTGTCAGTGTGAAGCTTACTACCAGTGTGAAGCTCACTACCAGTGTGAAGCTTACTACCAGTGTGAAGCTCACTACCAGTGTGAAGCTCACTGTCAGTGTGAAGCTTACTGCCAGTGTGAAGCTCACTACCAGTGTGAAGCTTACTACCAGTGTGAAGCTCACTACCGATGTGAAGTTCACTGTCAGTGTGAAGCTCACTGCCAGTGTGAAGCTCACTACCAGTGTGAAGCTTACTACCAGTGTGAAGCTCACTACCAGTGTGAAGCTCACTGTCAGTGTGAAGCTCACTGCCAGTGGGAAGCTCACTGCCAGTGTGAAGCTCACTACCAGTGTGAAGCTCACTACCAGTGTGAAGCTCACTGTCAGTGTGAAGCTCAATGTCAGTGTGAAGCTCACTGCCAGTGTGAAGCTCACTACCAGTGTGAAGCTCACTACCAGTGTGAAGCTCAATGTCAATGTGAAGCTCACTACCAGTGTGAAGCTCACTGCCAGTGTGAAGCTCACTACCAGTGTGAAGCTTATTACCAGTGTGAAGCTTACTACCAGTGTGAAGCTTACTACCAGTGTAAAGCTCACTAACAGTGTGAAGCTTACTACCAGTTTGAAGCTTACTACCAGTGTGAAGCTTACTACCAGTGTGAAGCTCACTACCAGTGTGAAGCTCACTGCCAGTGTGAAGCTTACTACCAATGTGAAGCTTACTACCTGTGTGAAGCTTACTACCAGTGTGAAGCTCACTACCAGTGTGAAGCTACTACCAGTGTGAAGCTCACTACCGTGTGAAGCTTACTACCAGTGTGAAGCTTACTACCAGTGTGAAGCTTACTACCAGTGTGAAGCTCACTACCAGTGTGAAGCTTACTACCAGTGTGAAGCTTACTACCAGTTTGAAGCTTACTACCAGTGTGAAGCTTACTACCAGTGTGAAGCTTACTACCAGTGTGAAGCTCACTACCAGTGAGTGAAGCTCACTACCAGTGTGAAGCTTACTACCAGTGTGAAGCTTACTACCAGTGTGAAGCTTACTACCAGTGTGAAGCTTACTACCAGTGTGAAGCTTACTACCAGTGTGAAGCTTACTACCAGTGTGAAGCTCACTACCAGTGTGAAGCTCACTACCAGTGTGAAGCTTACTACCAGTGTGAAGCTCACTACCAGTGTGAAGCTTACTACCAGTGTGAAGCTTACTACCAGTGTGAAGCTTACTACCAGTGTGAAGCTTACTACCAGTGTGAAGCTTACTACCAGCGTGAAGCTCACTGCAAGTGTGAAGCTTACTACCAGTGTGACGCTCACTACCAGTGTGAAGCTCACTACCAGTGTGAAGCTTACTACCAGTGTGAAGCTTACTACCAGTGTGAAGCTTACTACCAGTGTGAAGCTTACTACCAGTGTGAAGCTCACTACCAGTGTGAAGCTACTACCAGTGTGAAGCTTACTACCAGTGTGAAGCTTACTACCAGTGTGAAGCTCACTACCCGTGTGAAGCTCACTACCAGTGTGAAGCTTACTACCAGTGTGAAGCTTACTACCAGTGTGAAGCTCACTACCAGTGTGAAGCTCACTACCAGTGTGAAGCTTACTACCAATGTGAAGCTTACTACCAGTGTGAAGCTCACTACCAGTGTGAAGCTTGCTGCCAGTGTGAAGCTTACTACCAGTGTGAAGCTCACTACCAGTGTGAAGCTCACTACCAGTGTGAAGCTTACTACCAGTGTGAAGCTCACTACCAGTGTGAAGCTTACTACCAGAGTGAAGCTTACTACCAGTGTGAAGCTCACTGTCAGTGTGAAGCTTACTACCAGTGTGAAGCTTACTACGAGTGTGAAGCTCACTACCAGTGTGAAGCTTACTGCCAGTGTGAAGCTTACTACCAGTGTGAAGCTCACTACCAGTGTGAAGCTCACTACCAGTGTGAAGCTTACTACCAGTGTGAAGCTCACTACCAGTGTGAAGCTTACTACCAGAGTGAAGCTTACTACCAGTGTGAAGCTCACTGTCAGTGTGAAGCTTACTACCAGTGTGAAGCTTACTACCAGTGTGAAGCTCACTACCAGTGTGAAGCTTACTACCAGTGTGAAGCTTACTACCAGTGTGAAGCTCACTACCAGTGTGAAGCTCACTCCAGTGTGAAGCTTACTACCAGTGTGAAGCTACTACCAGTGTGAAGCTTACTACCAGTGTGAAGCTTACTACCAGTGTGAAGCTCACTACCAGTGTGAAACTCACTACCAGTGTGAAGCTCACTACCAGTGTGAAGCTCACTACCAGTGTGAAGCTTACTACCAGTGTGAAGCTTACTACCAGTGTGAAGCTTACTACCAGTGTGAAGCTCACTACCAGTGTGAAGCTTACTACCAGTGTGAAGCTTACTACCAGTGTGAAGCTTACTACCAGTGTGAAGCTCACTACCAGTGTGAAGCTTACTACCAGTGTGAAGCTCACTACCAGTGTGAAGCTTACTACCAGTGTGAAGCTCACTACCAGTGTGAAGCTCACTACCAGTGTGAAGCTTACTACTAGGTGAAGTTACTACCAGTGTGAAGCTCACTACCAGTGTGAAGCTTACTACCAGTGTGAAGCTTACTACCAGTGTGAACTTACTACCAGTGTGAAGCTTACTACCAGGTGAAGCTCACTACCAGTGTGAGAACGTGTAACTACCAGGTGAAGCTCACTACCAGTGTGAAGCTTACTACCAGAGTGAAGCTTACTACCAGTGTGAAGCTCTACTCCAGTGTGAACCTTGACTACCAGTGTGAAGCTTACTACCAGTGTGAAGCTCACTACCATGTGTGAAGCTTACTACCAGTGTGAAGCTTACTACCAATGTGAAGCTTATACCAGTGTGAAGCTTACTACCAGAGTGAAGCCTCACTACCAGTGTGAAGCTTACTACCAGAGTGAAGCCACATACAGTGTGAAGCTACTCCAGTAGTGAAGTCATGCTACACCGAGTTGAAAGTTACTACCATGTGAACTTATACCATGTGAATACTACGTGTGAAGCTTACTACAGATGAGCTTACTCCGGTCGAGTCTTATTTACACTGGGAAGTCACTCCGTGTGCAAGACTTACTAGAGTGAAGTCACTGGTGAATTCTACAGAGTGAAGTCAACTACAGCAGTTATCATACCCATGTACTTACATGTGATCGTAACAAGTGGAGGTCTCGTCTATTTTAACTGATTTCTGCCACACATGTGAGGCATGTGGAATCGGTTAAGAACCTCAGTGAAAATTAGCACATGTGTA